AGGTTGCAGTGCGCCGAGATTGTGACATTGCACTCCAGCCTGGGTGACAGAGAGACTCTGTCAAAAAAGTAAAATAGGCCGGGCGCGGTGGTTCATGTCTGTAATCCCAGCACTTTGGGAGGCCAAGGCGGGCGGATCACGAGGTCAGGAGATCAAGACCATCCTGGCTAACACGGTGAAACCCCATCTCTATTAAAAATACAAAAAAATTAGCAGGGCAAGGTGGCAGGCACCTGTAGTCCCAGCTACTCGGGAGGCTGAGGCGGGAGAATGGCATGAACCTGGGAGGCGTAGCTTGCAGTAAACCGAGATAAAAAATTAGCCAGGCATGGTGCCGCATGCCTGTAGTCCCAGTTACATGAGAATCGCTTGAACCCAGGAGGCAGAGGTTGCAGTGAGCCAAGACCACGCCACTGTACTCCAGCCTGGGAACAGAGTGAGACTCCGTCTCAGAATAAACAAACAAATAAATAAATTAATTAATTAATTAAAAAAATAGGAAATCCATTTAGCTTTAAAGAAAACATAACAACAAAACATATATATGTATAGTTAACTCTTCTCTCCTCTGTAGGTACAAAAAAAGGAAAGCTGAGGCTTAAAATAAGTTTGGGGAAAGCAGAACTGCCTTAGACCAACAATGTCAGGGCTGGTGATGCCCTCTTGTGGCATCCTGGAGAATTACTGCCATCTGACTTCATTTCCTCCGACCTGGAGGGACTATTCCCTCACAATACCTCAGTCACTGATTCATGCATGCCAGGCATTGTCCTAACAGTATCCCTGTCCTCGTGGAGTTTACAGTCAGGTGGAGGACATACAATTAATAAACATAATAAGGTAATGCCGTGGAAAAAAAAACAGAGTAAGATGGGAAGGGAGATGATGAGTATAGAGAGTCGTAGTGTGCATTGCAATTTAAAAAGAGTAGGCCTTCTTGTAGAGTTGAAGAGAGGTAGGGGAGTGAGCCATGTGGATATATGGGGTGAAGTTCTAGGCAGAGTGAACAGTCAGTACAATAGCCTTGAGACAAGAGCTTGTTTGCCAATTTTTTTTTTTTTTTTGAGACAGAGTCTTGTTCTGTCGCCCAGGCTGGAGGGCAGTGGCCTGATCTCGGCTCACTGCAAGCTCTGCCTCCCGGGCTCATGCCATTCTCCTGCCTCAGCCTCCCGAGTAGCTGGGACTAGAGGCGCCTGTCACCACGCTCGGCTAAATTTTTGTATTTTTAGTAGAGACGGGGTTTCACTGTGTTAGCCAGGATGGTCTCGATCTTCTGACCTCATGATCCGCCCGCCTTGGCCTCCCAAAGTGTTGGGATTACAGGCGTGAGCCACCGTGCCCAGCCTGTTTGCCAATTGCAAAAATGAAAAAAAAAACAAAACAAAAAACCGCAAGGGAGTGAGTCCATTGTGCCTGGAGCAGAGTGAAGGAGAGACAGAGGCAGAAGAGGGAAACCTGAGCACCTAGGGCCTTCATTCAGCGAAATGGGGAGCCCTGCAAGGTTTCAGCACAGTGATAAATCTGAAGCTTAAAAGGATAACCCTGGCTGTCATATTAAAAAGAGAACAGGTATTGACCAGGTACGGTGGTTCACGCCTGTAATCCCAGCACTTTGGGAGGCCAAGGTGGGCAGATTACTTGAGCCCAGGCGTTCGAGACCACCCTGGGCAACATAGTGAAACCCGATCTCTAAAGTAATAAAAATAATAATAGGCTGGGCCCGGTGGCTCATGCCTGTAATCCCAGTACTTTGGGAGGCTGAAGTGAGTGGATAATTTGAGGTCAGGAGTTCGAGACCACCTTGGCCAACATGGTGAAACCCCGTCTCTACTAAAAATACAAAAATTAGCTAGGCGTGGTGGCAGGAGCCTGTAATCCTAACTACTTGGGAGGCTGAGGCAGGAGAACTGCTTGAGCCCAGGAGGTGGTGAGTGTCAGTGAGCCTAGATCATACCACTGCACTCCAGCCTGGGTGACAGAGTGACATTTCATCTCAAAAAAAAAAAAAAAAAAAAAAAAAAAAAAAAAAAAAAAAAAAAAAAAAAAAAAAAAAAAAAAAAAAAAAAAAAAAAAAAAAAGAAAAAAGAAAAGAGAAGAGGAAGAGGGAGAAAAGCAGAATAACATTGCAGAGAGATGATAGTGGCTCAGCCCAGAATATTAGCAATAGAGGTAGTGAGATATGGTTGGATTCTGGATGTATTTGGAAGATAGAGCCAACAGATCTAATAGATATGGATGCTAAAGACAGACATCAAAAAGCACTCCACTATTTTGTTCTGTTTTATAGGAAGGATGAGTTGCCATGAGTTGAATTGGGGAAAGTGGCGCGAGATTAGGAGTTCAGTTTTAGACACAATGAGGTGGAAATATTTTGCTGGAAATAGAAATGTAGGAGTCATTGGCCTATAATGATACTTAAAGTTCTGAGACAGGATGAAATCAGCAGGGTGTAAAGCAGACAGAAAAGAGACTCCAGACCAGGAGCCCTGCCTCACTCCAACTTGAATGAGACTGAATTGAAGAGGAGAAATCTTCAAAAGAAAAAACAAGACTAGGCACACTCAAGCCAGGCACAGTGGCTCATGCCTGCAATCCCAGCACTTTGGGGGGCCAAGGCAGGGGATCACTTGAGCCCAGGAGTTGGAGACCATCCTGGACAACATAGTGAGACCTCATCTCTACAAAAAAAGAAAAAAAAAATTAGCTGAGTGTGGTGGTAGCGCACACATGTAGTCCCAGCTACTCTGGAGGCTGAGGCATGAGAATTGCTTGAGCCTGGGAAGCAGAGGTTGCAGTGAGTCGAGATTGCACCCCTGCACTCCAGCCTGAGCAACAGAGTGAGACCCTGTCAAAAAAAAAGAAAGAAAAAAAAGGCTGGGTGTGGTGGCTCAGGCCTATAATCCCAGCACTTTGGGAAGCCGAGGCAGGCAGATCATGAGGTCAGGAGTTCGTGACCAGTCTGGCTAAGATGGTGAAACCCCATCTCTACTAAAAATACAAAAATTAGCTGGGCATGGTAGTGCGCGCCTGTAGTCCCAGCTACTCGGGAGGCCGAGGTTGCAGTGAGCTGAGATGGTGCCACTGCACTCCAGCCTAGCGATACAGCAAGACTCCGCCTCAAAACAAAAAAACCCAAAACAACAAAAAACAAAAAAACAAAGACTATACACACTCCAGACCCTCCTGGAAGAACCTACCTTTTTCCAGAAATCCTCAACCCAGTCTCCGCCTACCTGCCCTAAGAACCCTTAAGATTTCCCCTTTACCAGGCCCCTCCCCCTGGGAGAAGGTGCTTGGAGCATTAGCTCGCCTTCTCCATTCCTATGATTCAAGATTTTCTTCTTTGGCTCAAGCCTGTAATCCCAGCACTTTGGGAGGCCGAGACGGGCGGATCACGAGGTCAGGAGATCGAGACCATCCTGGCTAACACAGTGAAACCCCGTCTCTACTAAAAATACAAAAACTTAGCCGGGCGAGGTGGCAGGCGCCTGTAGTCCCAGCTACTCGGGAGGCTGAGGCAGGAGAATGGCGTAAACCCGGGAGGCGGAGCTTGCAGTGAGCTGAGATCCGGCCACTGCACTCCAGCCTGGGTGACAGAGCAAGACTCCGTCTCAAAAAAAAAAAAAAAAAATTTTCTTCTTGGTGACTTTGCAAGCTGGGGACCTCTGGCTAGCAATGCCCTACCAGGTCTCACTCGCCAGGTTACCTGCTGCAGGACATGGCCTTTACTTGCTGCAGGAGACGACCCACCCACTCAGCCCAGTTGGCGGAGTCTAGTTTAAGCACTGGTTCTGGAGTTCTCATCCCACAAGTCCAAGAAGAATGAGGAGGCACTGACAATTGAAGAGTGACCAAAGTGGGGTTTTACTGAGTGATAAAACAGCTTTTGGTGGCTGTAGGGGGTGGTCCCCCTACCTGAAAGTGGGAAAGTTCCCCTAATATGGCTGAGTCCAGTGCTTCTATGGGCTCAGAATGGGGGAAGGGCAGGCCATAGGTAGTACTGGAAAAGGCAACATTCAGTTGGTTAAAAGGCATTATTCAAAAAGAATCAATCAGGAAAGGGTAGGCAAACAGAAACAGAAGTTCTCATTCTGGATTGTGGGTTTCATCCAGGACCAGCAATCGGTCTTTCAGACTTCAGGCTGTTTTTGGCTTGAAGGTGGGGTTTCACTGGGGACCCACCCCTATCTGCCTAGGCATTTGGCCGCCTCCTGTTGCTGTCTCCTAGATCAATGAATAAAGCTTCTGCTCTGCTTTATGGAACCTGGCTTTGTTCTGTTGGTGCAAATGGGACCAGGCAAGGAAAGGACCCATTAGGATCAAATGACCCCCTTTAATGTAACAGCTGGAGAAAAACCAGGTGGTCAGGGTGTTCTGGAGGGACCCGGGGAGTGGAGGGGAGGCCCTCTATTCAGGCTATGCCCTTGAACCTTCCAGGGTGTTGGTGGCCCTTCCCTCTGGATCTGCTTTTTTTTTTTTTTTTTTTTTTGAGAAAGAGTCTCGCCCTGTCGCCCAGGCAGGAGTGCAGTAGTGTGATCTTGGCTCACTGCAGCCTCTACCTCCCAGGTTGAAGTGATCCTCCTGACCCAGCCTCCCGAGTAGCTGCGATTACAGGTGTGTGCCACCACACCCGGCTAATTTTTAATTTATTTTTAATTTTTTTAGTAGAGACGGAGTTTGACCATGTTGGCCAGGCTAGTCTCGATCTCCTGACCTCAGGTGATCTGCCTGCCTCAGCCTCCCAAAGTGCCAGGATTACAGGCGTGAGCCACTGTGCCTGGCCTGTTTTTGAGATGGGGTCTTGCTTTGTTGTCCATGCTGGCTTCCAACTCCCGGGCTCAAGAGATCCTCTTCCTTCAGCCTGCAGAGTAGCTAGGATTACAGGTGCAAGCCACTGTCCTAAACTTGGACATGCTTTTTAACTTGAGGAGCACAGGCACCACCACCTGTCATCATAGCTCTCACTTGACCTCCCTCCTCCTCCACACACACAAAGAACAGACAGGTATCAAGGCTGTTTATTGACTCTTCACAGCCAGCGGTTCTCCCTCTGCCATTCTGGGGTGCCTAATCCCCGTCTCCCCCGCCTGGAGCCAAGTGGAGTGGCTCTGAGCTTGACCCCAGACGCCTTCCTCTTGCCAGGCTTCCCTGCCCCGCAGCCTTGGCCTTCCTGGTTTGCCACAGGGGCTGTTACTCCTTTGATTCCACATCCTCCTTCTCGAAGTGTGTGAGGTAGGCCATCTGAGCCGAATCATGCGAGCCATAGAGAATGTTCGTGCTGTAGGAGCTGCCGTGGAGGCGCAGGGCTGCAGGCAAGAAAGGCGGACGTGAGGCTGTGCTGGCAGCGCCTGCGCCCGGCTTCCTTCGTCCCACACTCACCTTTGGTAACATTGACTTTGTTGGCCGCCAAGATATCCGCCTGAATGTTGTCTAATTTCATGTACAAGTCCTCAGCGTTGCTCTGAGGACAGGAGCAAGGGGGACCCGGCTGGGGTGCCAGGGCAGTCTGGACTTGGAGTTGGGCTTGGCAGAGGGATGTTGCAGGTGGGGGGCGAGTTGGCAGCCTGACCGAAAGGGCAGGAAAGGGAACAGGAAGATGGAGGGTGGAGGAGCCTAGGCCAGAGCAGTCCCTCCTGCAGCTGGTGGCCAGGTCCACTCTGCATGTGGAACGCTCCAGGATGGGGACTGTGTGAAGGGGCACCACACTGTCCGAGTCGCCGTCTGAGGGCGCACTTACCAGGAAGAGCTGGTAGAGTTCCTCTCCCATGCCCTTGCGCACGTGCTCCGCCACCAAAGGGAACATCTGCACGAAGCACTGCGCCGCGCGGGCGGGGTGGCGTGACTGCGGGGGCGGCGGGACTGTGGCTGCCGCAGCCCTTCCCGCCCCCTCGCTAGGGGCAGTGCGCACCTCCAGCGTGAGGCTGGCCAGCCGCTGGCTGTTGCTGTGGTCCATGTTGCCCATGGCGGCCATTAGGCCGTGCACCACGTGCAGGTACAGCAGCTCCTCGGCGATGCTCATGTCGTTGCGTGCCAGGACCCTGGGCCGGGGGATTCAGGCTGGGCCGATGCCCTGGGCTCACCCGGCGCACAGCGTCCTGAGCGCTCCCGGGGCCCGCGGGCAGCGCCAAACCAGGTTTGTAGCCACCCACTACCCTCTGCCCGCTTACCCGATGGCCTTGGCGGCCGCGGCCTGCTGCAAAAACATCGGCAGGCTGGGGGCGAGCTGGAGAACTGAGGGGTCTGAGGAGAGGGCGGCCGTGAGGCAGGAGACCCCCCTCCCTTGGCCCAGGCAGCCCCATCTGAGCAGGTCCCTACCACTGAGGATCTTGGCCTGCAATTTGGAGGTCTCCCTGACCGACGGTATCAGCAGCGCTACGAGGCCCTTGAGCAGCGCCTGGCGCACATCGTAACCCACCAGGTCCTTGATCAACTCGATGGCTGGGGAAGGGCAGAGGTGCTGGTGAGAGGCCCCAGGCCCCTCCGCCACCGAGGAAGCAAGGAACCCCGTGAACCAAGTCGCCACTCGTCACTGTCCTCCTCTCGACCTTTTACTGACCAGCACTGTGCAGGGCGTGGGGAAGCTGGGAAAGCGACCCTCAGTTGAAGAGCAGGAGGCGGGGGCTGAAGGGGGAGGAGGAAGAGTTGTATGGTGAGTCCACCTGTGGAGGTGGCCTAGGATGTCAGCGCTGGAGGCTGAGAGGCCCCAGAGAGATGGACCTTCGCCTTGGAGGAATCCAGGTTTCATGGAGGAGGGAAGTGCTGGGTCTTTATAGGAAGACAAGATGGAGAAAGACAAGGGATGAGAGGGAGACAGAGAAAGTGGGTGAGAGACTTGTGGCAGGAAATGAGAAAGGGGAAGCAAGGTAGGCACTCCTTCTAACTATCGTCGAGCCCTCTCTACCAGGCACGGTGCCAGGCTTCCCATACAGCATCCGTAGAAGCTCTCCAGAACCAGATGAAGTTCACTTCCCCGTTTTACCTTTGCCAAAATTAGGCACAGAGAGGTAAACCACTTTGCCTAAGCTACACAGCTAGGAAATGGTGGAAGCAGAAGGAGGGGAGGATTTGGTTAGGAAGGAGAAAGGGACTAGAATTTATGGAGGGCGTTTCCTGCAGGCTTTCCTGTAGATATTTTACAGGCGTTCATTCAGTCCAGCATTCACTCAGCCTTTCGGCACGGCTGCATGTGAATGCCTATCGTGCCAGGCGCGGCATTGGGTGTTGAAGATACAGACTGAATTCATTCATTCAACCAACCTTCCGTAAGCATGCACAAACAGGCAGCGATGATATGGTGACAGGTGCTGTGGAAGGAGTCAGTGGTTGGGCTGTGGGAGCACCAGAGAAAATCGGCAAGGATTGAATGTTTTTGTAAAGAAGAGAAAGGAACCACAGAGGTAAAGGGGGCAGGAGGAGATGCTAAGGCAATGGCACACCAGCGTAAATGCTACCTTTTTTCTTTTTTTTTTTTTTTGAGACGGAGTCTCACTCTGTCGCTCAGGCTGGAGTGCAGTGGCACGATCTTGGCTCACTGCAACCTCCACCTCCTGGGTTCAAGAGATTCTCCTGCCTCAGTCTCCCGAGTAGCTGGGATTACAGGTGCCCGCCACCACGCCTGGCTAATTTTTTTTTTGTATTTTTAGTAGAGACAGGGTTTCACCATGTTGGCAAGGCTGGGCTTGAACTCCTGACCTCAGGTGATCCACCTGCCGGCCTCTCAAAGTGCTGGGATTACAGGCATGAGCCACTGCGCTGGCCTTTTTTAAATTATTATTTAAATTTTACTTTTTTTCTGAGGCAAGGTCTTACTATGTTGTCCAGGCTGGTCTTGAACTCCTGGGCTCAAGCGATCCTCCTACCTCTGCCTCCTGAAGTACAGGATTACAGGTGTGAGTCACTGTGCACCCGCCACTGCTACTCTGAACACATGTAGCAGCTACATGGAAGATAGAACTTGACTACCAGCTCAGTAGTCAAGTGCCTCTCTCTCTCCATTTACCAGTAAGATAGAGGGTTTAGGGGAAGTCCTTGTTCCCCACTCAGCTCATTTGCATCCCAGAATGCAATGTAGATATGAGCATTATTACCAGGGTTATCTGCTTGAATAATAATATTTAAAAAATTTTTTTCTTTGTCAGGAGATTTTACCCAGTGAGAAATGTTTACGACAATTTTCTAGAGTGGAAGAAAAGCTTCTGTCTGCAGGTCCAAAGGCACCGTAAGTGAAGGGGGATCAGTCAATATCAGGGACGCCAGGCACAAAGGCGGTGGCTATACTCTGGTTTCTCTTCATAACGAACAAGTCTTTCGCCTTTTACTAAAGATTTCCGTGGAGAGGAACAATTGTGAGTTTACCACCAAATTTTTTGATGTCCTGTTTAGGCAGGGCTAAGTATCTAGTCTGATAAAGATAGACATCTGAATGTGGCATTTTATGCTTGTTGGTCTTAACATTCTGGGAGAATGGGGTAGACCTACTAAAATCTAACAGTGTGTTGGCGGTACCACTAATCCTAGTTACTTGCGGTTCTGAGGTAGGTTAAGGCAGGAGGATTGTTTGAGCTTGGGGAGTTAAGGCTGTGGTGAAAGAATGTGTCACTACACTCCAGCCTAGGCAGCACAGCAAGACCCTATCTCTTATTAGGCCACTAGTAGAGACGGGGTTTCACTATGTTGGTCAGGCTGGTCTCGAACTCCTGACCTCAAGTGATCCACCTGCCTCAGCCTCCTAAAGTGCTGAGATTACAGGCATGAGCCACCATGCCCGGCGTGTTTTGCCTTTTGATGCTGTTAGTTGCTTCAGGATCAGCAAACGGCCTCAACTTTGAGGGCTGGCTTACCTTTCTGCGTTCTCAGCTTCCCCTGGATTTCGGTATGATAATTCTTTTTTTTTTTTTTTTTGAGACGGAGTCTCGCTGTGTCGCCCAGGCTGGAGTGCAGTGGCGCAATCTCGGCTCACTGCAAGCTCCGCCTCCCGGGTTCACGCCATTCTCCCGCCTCAGCCTCCGAGTAGCTGGGACTACAGGCGCCCGCCACCACGCCCGGCTAGTTTTTTGTATTTTTAGTAGAGACGGGGTTTCACCATGTTAGCCAGGATGGTCTCGATCTCCTGACCTCGTGATCCACCCGCCTCGGCCTCCCAAAGTGCTGGGATTACAGGCTTGAGCCACCGCGCCCGGCCGATAATTCTTCATTGTACTGCTCTCCAATGCTATTAATAAGACTACATTCTTTTTTTTTTGTAGATATTTTAGTAGTTCCAGGAGGGATATTTGTTGAAATTGCCCAGCCCACTATGATCAGAAAGATAAGTCTTTTTTTTTTCCTGGAGATGGAGTTTCACTCTTGTTGCCCAGGCTGGAGTGCTATAGTGCGATCTTGGCTCACCACAACCTCCGCCTCCCAGGTTCAAGCGATTCTCCTGCCTCAGCCTCCCGACTAGCTGGGATTACAGGCATGCACCACCACGCCCAGCTAATTTTTTGTACTTTTAGTAGAGACGGGTTTCTCCATGGTGGTCAGGCTGGTGTCTAACTCCCGACCTTAGGTGATCCACCCGCCTCGGCCTCCCAAAGTGCTGGGATTACAGGTGTGAGCCACCATGCCCGGTCCAGAAACGCTTCGTATGACCAACCAGCCACTGCCGTTGGGCTGCCTCTTTCTTCCAGGTCTTCCAGGGTAGCCCTCGCAATCCCATCTGCCCATCCTCTGCAGCCTCTGGTTGCCCAGATGTGGTCCTATTTTGGAATCAAAGGCCCAGCAACATTGTGGAGGGAAAGGGACAAGCCCCTGGAAGGTGCAAAGCACTTGAGCTTCCCTGGCTTCCCCCAAACACTCTGATCTGAATAGAATGGCAGACTGGACATCTCTGGCTGCATGGCAGCCGCAGCCTGCACTGGCTGGTGCCTGAAAGTGTTTCTCACTTGTTCTACTATTTGGTTTCTTCCCTCTTCTTGAATTGGTGCAGCTCATTTTTTTGGAGCCAAGTGGCCTGGCCCCTCATGCATCTGATGACACTTGGCTTTGTTGCCTGCAGCACATCCCTCATTAGTAGTTGGGCTCTTTCCAGGCACAAGCTGGCAGCATGTAATGCCAGGACATCCTGGGCAAATGTCTGCCTATGCCCAAAAGCTCTTCCTGCAGCGAGACATGACTTGGTGGACACTCAGGGTAGAAACGAATGGGTGACGATATTTTTATGAAAATTTCCTGACCACAAATAGCATTTTCTGCCCATGTAGAACCAAATACTCCAGGAGACAAATGTCTAGTTCTGACTATTCAATTTACACTAAATGCTTAATCTTTTGCTAATTATGTATTTGTAACACTTGGAGCTACTTGGAAAAATGAAGATTTATTCACTGAATCGTTTTTGACTGAGTTTTAAAATTCACAGCTGTCACTGTTTATACCCAAAGTGAAAGTACTGGTCTCTGCCCAAATGTCTTCACAGGAACCACAGCCAGCTACAACTCTTCATCTATCGTGCCAGTTACTATGAAGGGCAATTCCTTCAGAAAGCAAAGGACAACAAAAGACTATCTTTGGCAGCTTTGCCTAAAGCCTGTGGTGCTGATAACACCCAAATGTCCTAAAGCTGAGCAATCACTGATTTATTCATTGATTCATTCATTTAACAAAATTCTCATTGAGCATCTTGTCTGTGCCAGGCCTCTGGGCTTGGGCTATGAAGAGGACTAAGATCTAATCACTGGCCTTAGGGACATCACAGCTGAGTGGGGGACACCAATAGGGAGACTGGCATTTATGATGCAGTGTTATCAGGGCCATGGGAACACAAAGGAAGCCAGGCTGGTTGATGGAGTGGAGATGATAGGGGATGGAGAATCAGGAGAAGGATTCCTTGGAGAAGGTGATGCTTGAATTGGCAAAACCATGGGGAGAAGGGAGGGGCTGGAATGTAGAATGTGGCAAGTGCTATGTTGGATAGTGCCATGTCACACTTGTGGCCAGGCAAAGGAGATCTGGTTGAGAAACAGGGATGCTGGGCCATGCATCAGAGCTAAGCCTGTGGAGGTGGGCCAGCTCCATCTTCTGAGGGGCTTTGCATGTGCCAACAACCCAATACAGCAGGTATTTTTCTCATCTTTCATTTCAGAGAAAAGGAAGGCTCAAAAAAGTTGGGTAGCTCGCCCAGGATGAGATAGCTAATAAGAATAGTTTTGATTGCAGGCCAGGCGCGGTGGCTCATGCCTGTAATCCCAGCACTTTGGGAAGCTGAGGCGGGTGGATCACGAGGTCAGGAGTTCAAGACCAGCCTGGCCAAGATGGTGAAACCCCGTCTCTACTAAAACTACAAAAATTAGCCAGGTGCAGTGTCAGGCGCCTGTAATCCCAGCTACTTGGGAGGCTGAGGCAGGAGAATCTCTTGAACCCAGGCGGCAGAGATTGCAGTGAGCCGAGACTGCGTCACT